ACCTATATATTTTCCTTTTATTCTATATAATACAAAGTTCCCATTTAATTAAATTCCTGTCTCTTTCTTCCCTTCTTTTATTATGCCTATACTTATCTTTTTACACTATCAACACATCATCTACAATTTAATTATATGTTAATCATGAGTGGCCCTCACACAAAAACTTTACACTTACAACAAATACAATACATACAATTAGAGTTTATAGTGATTAGTGACCCTCCATCAGCTTTCATCCATAAGTATATAACAGTGTACTTAAAAAGTCACGAAAGACAAAATAAAAATGATGTCCAAGATCACAATTGTCTCTTCTCAAACACAAACTAAGGACCAGCTTAAAGCAGTGTAAAATAATGACCAACAATGAAACATAAACCAACGAATTTCAGTGAATACTAAGACACAAACGGATAAAAAATTATGTTTTTGAAGCTACACCACAATACTAATGTAACAAAATCTTCTGTGGACCACAGACTATGCAGAATGTTATGAAGGACATTATGTTTTAATTTCTTTTGGTTCATGTATTTGTTTAAATAATATAAGAATGAAATGGAGTATGCTAGTTCCCTACGTCATATTTGTGTATGTAAAATGACATGCAACGTATGAAAGATGAAGTTCATATAGCCATGGGGAGCACAAGAAATCTAGCAGAATCAGAATAGGCCCAAAATTAGCATAAAGTAAACACCTGAGAATATTTAATTAGGGAAATAGCAATAAGGGTGTTTTGAATTATAGGAGAGAGAAGGAAAGATACACTGTTCTTTCTACTCCAATCATTGCTCTTACAATCTTTAGCTACTAAAGTATTCTTAACGGCAAACAAGTTTTAATCTGACAATTGCAAAAGTAGGGTTTTTATTATGCTTCTAGGGTTTTGCATACTGCAAATGTTATTTCCATCGATCTCCATATTCAACATGTTTAATTAGCTTATTTAGTTAGAAGGGCTTTCAATTTCCCAATTCTATAATCAACTATTATAATGGATCATATATAAATTGCTAGTTTAGTTTAAAATTCTAGCAATCAAAGGGTTGAAGCTAATTGTATGAATCAAGTTATAAAGAAACAATTATAGGCACCATATATATAATAAGATAATTTTACCATCCATAATATATATCTTCTCAAGAAGCCAATTGCTTGAAAGCTTTTGCACTTTGACTCCCCTTAATTTGGGTTCTCTTCTTTTTCTTCTTCTTATATGGAATCCCTCTTGCCTTCCCCTGGCACTCCTTTACCTCACGCAGGTAAAGCCGAATTGCTCCGCTTCCAAAGGGATTAGTCTCTGGCAATCCACCGTGCTCCTCATAGGCGGCTCGGAGCCGTCCGATGAGGGCATCGAGACTGCCCCAAGCCTGCCTAAGAGGACACGCGCAAGGTGCTGGAGGCGCAGGCTGACCAAAGAAGATGCAACTTTGCAGGTGTACCTTGGTCTTCCCAAATTGGTCAAGATACCTAAGGAACTCTATGACATGGTTGAAGTTGCACTGAGAGAGTGGAACTGGAGGGCTCTGATTGTTAAGGTACTGGCCAAAGGTGTTCCAATCTCTCTTTTTTTGAGACTCATACCGGCTCAGTGGTTGTGGTTGCTGATGATGTTGTTGTTGATTGGAGGGAGCTTGTGATGAAGATGAGGATCCATGAGTGGAACTATTTTGCATTTGGTTAGACATGGTAACTGTGTGAAGTATGTAGAGGAATAGGTTGTAGGGGTGTGGAGTTATTGAGAAGAAAGAAATATCAAGAAGATTGTGAGTGGGAATGAGGTAAAAGAATGTGTTAGTGCAGTGGAAAAAAATGAAAATCACATCTAGAGGGGAATGGTGTCTTTTTAGAGGACATGTCATGGGCCCTATCAAGGTGCTTTTTTCTCCTTTTTCTCCCTTCTACTCTGTCTATCTTAGATTTGTGTTTTTCTACATTTTACCTATTTACACTACTAGCTTGTAGCCTTAAACTATAATATGATACATATATATAAAAGAAAAGAAATATATGTGTTATTATATAGGATATGAAATGAAATAATCAATAAGACAATTACACTGTTATCATCATTTTCACAATGGGCATTATGATCACTTGAGAATGGTTTGGATATATAGGACCCTCTTTTCATGATTTGATTTTGTCTAATTTAGTGGAAGCCAATTATAATTTGTTTACATCATTAGTCGGTGACTTTTGGTGCTTATAGTCCAAGTCTTGTTTGAGTTAAAATGAAATTCTGTGTGTTGTGTAAGTATAATGTGTCTATGTTCATACATTATTGAAAAGCATATAATTTAGTCCACTAATCAACTTGATTACCTACAGTGCTGTTTGGTGACTGTTCAGCAAACACAATTGGTGGTAAAGTTTATTCTATTTAGTGTTGAAATTCGATTGCAAATCTGAAAATAATAAATAATATGGATTTCAAGTTCCATCTTAAAAAATGTGTTAGTCCAGTGGTGTAATATTCTGCTTCCAAGTTCCATTGGATCCTCGGTTATCTTACTAGGTTAAAGGTTTGATTCTTGATAGCAACATTTGTTTCGAAGGATAACCATACACCTCAAATGAGATTACTTCTTTAGTCATACAGTATGACGATATTATTGGTTATACCATATATTACTTATAAAAGTAACCAATACTCCTCAATACTCCTCAACATGTTTAATAATTAAAAAATATACACTGTATAAAAGGGTAATAATGACCCACAAATTTAATGGGGTTATTAAATTGCTTGTAGTTATTGTTGTTGAGATAAATTCATGGTGAGCGAGAAAGGTCATGTTTTCTTTGTACATAGAAAAGTTTGTAGGTTAATTGGTTGTTTGTGTCTTTAAGGCTCTTTTCAAAGTTTTCTTGAATGAGTATAAAATGTACGAGGTACTAGAGGTACCTCTGAACCCTGCTTACAAATTTTCAGCTCTACATGTCAGGTTTTGAGAGTACATGTCCATGCATGAATAGACAAATGGTTATTATGATGTCTTACCCCGAACATTTAAGCATTAACGACTTGATGAACCATCATCATTTTCATTATTGAAAAGACAAATATATGTATTTTTTTATTTTTAATGACAAAAATGTAATTTCAGTGTAACTAGAATGATAAATATGTCATTGAAAGTTATATTTTCATTTCCTTTTTGAAGTATTTGTCTCTCCATTAATAGAGATGATCCTTATTTCATACAAAAGTCATTCATGTTACAATTGCCCTATCAATGAAGGTTGAATTTGGTAGAGAAAAATAATTGAAAGAGGATGATAGTATTTAATACTTTAATTGTGTTTGATTAACTAAATGATAAAACATGTTATACGTACAAGGTATTAACAACTTTACATGGAATAAACTAACATCCTTCAAAAGTGTTTTAGACTTCAATTATATATTATCTATCAAATCTTGTAACGAATAAATCTAAATCACAGGGTTGATTGTGGCATATATATGTACTAGTGTGTAATCACCTTTAGCCTCTACATAATATATTCAAATCTATAAAGGAATTGTAAAGTAGCTAAGTATATTTAGAGATTAAATCACACGCATAAGATTCATTAAATGAGTGAATAAGAATCTCCCTATCTAAAAAATATATAAAACCTAGTCACCTACACACATAGAATTCTATTTTAAAGCAAGTAACCCATTGAAAGAAATTAAGCAAGTAATTCATTGAAAGAAATTAAGCGCAACTACTTACTAAAATAATGTGATGTGGTATACAAACATTACAACAACGCCACTTATAACGTCTGTTTTTGTACGATATTGTTTTTTACAGCGCTACGTTTGAGTTGTGTTGTTATATACTTATCATAACACAACGCTAGTTGTAGCTCACACTGTTATATTTGTCAGTTCCGTAACAGCGCATGACTTAGATTGCGTTGTTGTAAAATGTGGTATACAACAGCGAAATAAGAAAGTGCGGTTGATGACTACCATCTACGACTTCGGTCAAACAGACAGCGGCGGGAGACGCTATCCTAAAGCTAAAAAAAGTGTTGTTGCTCAACGTATAAAGTATATGGTGTAGTGATACAAACGTAAACATTCCAACTAAACCAACAACTAAGTCAATCAGGTATATAAACTTTTCAATATACAACAGAAAAAGAAACATTCTGAGGTTGAGAATGTGGAAAAGGAAACCCTACTTCATGTTTATCTTCAAATCAATCAAATATACATAATTTCATGTTAGAACAAAAAAAGAAACATTTGGAGATTGAGGAATGGAAAAGAAAACCCATTTTAATGCTTATTATCAAATCAAAGAATAAAAGTAAACAAGACCCTGAAAAGAAATATTGTTACAAATTAGAGAGACATCTTTGTTGTGATGATTCATGACTTCCTGAGATGCCTCTAACGCATTATGGTGCTTGTTGAAGTTTTGACACTGCCATCTACATATACTTGGACCGGTTGCAGATTTTGGCCTCTTCATGAGGTTAATAATTTTTTTATGAGCAAAGTTTTTATTAAATAGTTGAAGCAACAGAATTACTTCAATTAACCACAGTAGAATGTTGCTACATTGAACCGTGCTTTTAAGTGTTGTTAAAAGTGAGAGATTTTACAATATTTTAATGTGCAACTTTCAACAACGCTTCCTTAAATAAACATTATTGAAAGTGTGAAATATCAACTTTCAAAGCAAGCGATATGTTGATTCTCATGACAGTACTATTTGATATAACAAATAATGTTATCAACACAACACAAAACAAACAGTTTCTACATATAAATCAAACACATTCAGCAACACAACACATATATATCAACACAACACATATAATCAATCTCATTTATTAGTGCAACAATAATTACATTGTTTATTTCCAAATCTATACAATCCATAGTGTAAATCTAGTTTACAGTGTATATATATATACTTGTATGTCTATCTATACTGATTACTCGACTAATCTAATCTACAACAATACTTATAGGACAAAGTTAGTCCATTCTCCCCTAAATTGTATAATATGATCACTAGTGTATGTAATTATAATATTGAAATCACATAACAATAGTACTGTCATATTGAAATCACATAGTGTATGTAATCTACAACAATACTTATATTGAAATCACATATAGAACCTTGTACCCTCTTCATTTGTCATTCTTGGATGTTCTCCAAGCCTTCATGACGTATATAGCTGCAATTATATATGTTGTTTGGCTTGAGCACTACAATAAAAAATAAGATAAAATTAAGAATAAACTACACTAACACCTCCAGAATTTTAGTAAAATTATACAAATCACTCTTCATTTTTTAAACCTACATAAACTATCTCTAATTAAATACATACATTATACTAATTACCCATCAAGGAGATAAAAATGTAAATTCTTAAACGAATAAGAGTGATAAGTGTAATTAATTTAAATAAAATATAATATTTTATGGTGATAAGTCCAAATAGTATATAAGTCAATATCTCTTTATTATTTTTGGTTCATTATAATATAATACAAGAGTGATTTAAACACCTTAGAATTATTGATGTAGTTTGTAACGAAAAAAGTAATGAACATAAATTGAGTCTTATACTATTTTGATTTTTCTCCACAAAATATCATATTTTGTTTAACTAAATTACATTTATCACTCTTTTCTGTTTAAGAATTTACACTTATCTATCCTCTAGAGGTAGGCAGTGTAATGTATGTATATAATTAAGGGTGGTTTATGTAGGTTTAAAAAAGGATGAGTGGTTTGTGTAAATTCACTAAAACTCAGGAGTATCTGTGTAGTTTACTCTAACATTAATTTTTAAAATAGGCAAATATCATTACATGAAATTTGTATATATACTATTGTTGCTTGAAATTTACATTTACATGGTTCCACTTTATGGTTTTTGAAGTAGCATTTGAGCCTATTTGTGATCTACAAATTTGCAGGGCCCTAAAACTATGGGTGAGCGTGAGCCGGGTTGGGACGGATTAAGGTTTGTCCTTACTCGGCCCTAAATGTTGTTCAGACAATTTTAATGAACCCAGACCCGACCTTAGACCCGGAGTTAACCCGACCCTAAATATTCACAGGGTCAACCTTTAAACCCGAACCCGACTCTAGACCCGATTAATTATAACGTATACTCATTTTACATAAAGTCTTCTAAATATTATTTATTATTGTAAACATGTAATTTGACATATAAAATAATGTATATGTATATATATTATTAAACATGTATATATGATGAAAAAATTAGAGAACCAATGATATTTTCGACAAAAAAGTATCATTACTTTGTATATATTTGAACAGATACACATACAAACATCATGAGTGAGTTACCGTGAGACGGGTCGGGACAGGTCACGCTTGGTCCCTACCCGACCCTAAATATTGTCTGGGTCTAATTTTTGAACCTGAACCCGACCCTAGACCCGGTGAGACCCGACCCTTTTTTGGCCCGATCATGATCGGGCCATACCAGGTGAGCGGGTAGGGTCGGGTCCCGCTCACCCCTACCTAAAACATAGAAAGTATATAGCTATAATCCAAATCGGTAGTATCTTTCTTTCAGAACAAGTTATAATCCAAATGATCCACTTACCCTATGACCATTTCCTTCTTGTTGAGGTACTTGTTTGGATCACCATGAACCAATAAATCAAAATAGCATATTTGGTATTTCTTTGTGATTTATGATGATAAAAAACCAATGAGTCCTACAATAGATTTGCAGTACAGTTAGAAGGTGCAATGAATAAGGTGAAATCAAAATAGTATATTCTTATGTTTACAAAAATGCTCATCCGACATTATACGGTACAATGAATAATTCCTTATCCAAGTTTTGTCGAAGAATATTAGCAATGTATTGTTTCCTTTTTGCATCATTGCTTCTACCATTCATTAAAAAAGATATCCACTATAGCGACAAGAATATCAATGACTTTTTATCCTTGACAAAATTATCATGTAAGTACCTAAAATATAGATATATCGATCATTTGATAATAGTATAGTAAACCAAATGAAAAAAATGAATAATTAAAAGAAATAAAGTACCTCATATATACCCAAATGGCACATGCGCTCAACCAATCATGCTCAAAAACTTCTTTCACCTCACTCATGTTAAGGAATTCTTCTATACTAAACCTGAACATTTCTTTCATGATATTTATTATAAGCACAACATCTTCTCTCATGGTTTGTAGATGAATCTTTAGAAGAGTGTCAAACTGAAGATTCTTATATCCTACTTCTTTCCTAAGTGGGTGGTACATGTCTCACTCCTAGCTTCGATTTTTTTGGATTTCACTTTGGATTTTTTCGATACGTGAACACTCGATTTCCCTTTCTCTAATAGGGGATGTCATTAACCTCTTTGTTTCTTGAAACATTTTGTCATTGAGTCGCTCATGTACTTGAAAATTTAATGTTAATACATCAATTATCAAAACCGAATCAAAGCATAATTATCCATAAGTAGTAAAGCCACATATTTTAGGATATACACCCGCAAGGTGTATGGGCCAAGCCACATATGTAAATATAGCACCCCCAATTGTAATTGTATCATCAATCAATATCGTCAACAATACATCATCATATATCGCAACATCAATTCTAACCTTCACATGATTGGTGAGGAGATGTGCATTATTAAGAATAATATATCGGAAGTTGTGCAGTTTACCAATGACAAGTGTCGATAACCTAAAAGTTCAAATATAAGAAAGTTATTAAGCAACACAAGTTTAAGGGGGTAAGTACAAGTTCAAACATATTGGTCAATGACTTTACCTCTCGAATTCTATAACTAGCAAGAGTGCAATTATATTTGATGCTAGAACCAACAAATTTTTCCTCAATTGCCTTCTCTTTATTTTTACTTTCTAACACCCTAACCATGTTGAAAAGTTTTTCCACATGTTACACATCTCTTGCATCTTAGCAAAGTCGACTCTTGTTGCACGCTTTTGAGGGGGGGAGTACATAGTCCCTTTTGCATACCTCAAAACCTGCACCCTGAATACGTCTTGAGTACTGTCGCGCCCTGATTTTCGGCTACGCGACCTCTTTTGGAGTCGCCACCATGTTTTTTTCCGGTTAAAACATGAAAAACTCAATTTGAGCCCAAATTGGATAAAATGGTCTTTTTAATCAGAGATATGGATTCAGGAGTCGATTATGGACCGTGGAATGTATTAGCACCCCGTTCGCCCGTTTTAAAACGGTACCCTCGCTAATAACATGAACTTTTATACCCTTAAAATTATTTATTAAAATTCACTAATAAAAGCAAAGTGTTTTGTTTTTTATTGTTGTGTCTGACAAGAGTTCATCTTGCTCCTACGTATCTCTAGGTGCAATAGGGAAATCAAGGCTACGTAGTTCTGGTTCGAAATTTAATTGGAGTTGGTTTAGTTGATTTGAAATGTCGATAGAATTTTATTAACTTTGAGAAAAGATGAAGCAGCAGAAGCTAATGTCTGCACCGCATCAAATCTCAAAGAGATTTTAAAATAATTGAAATATAATTAAAATTTATTCGTCTTTAAGACAGATGAAGCAGCAGAAACTAATGTCCGCACCGCATCAAATCTTAAAGAGATTTTGGAAATATTTAAAAACACCGTTAAAATTTGTTCATCTTTAAGATAGATGAAGCAGCAGAAACTAATGTCCGCACCACATCAAATATTAAATATATTTTGAAGATAATTAAAATATAATTGAAATTTATTCATCTTTAAGATAGATGAAGCAGCAGAAACTAATGTCCGCACCGCATCAGATCTTAAAAAGATTTTGAAATAGTTAAAACATAATTGTTGGAAACTAAGCCATTTTATTTTATTTCTATTAATAAAATATAGTTGACAATGAGGAACGTATAATTGTTACTCAATATAATATAAATAAAAAACAAAACAAAAAACATAAGTGGATTATATTAAACAATTATGGTAAAAAGTGATGGTAAACAAATACATTAACTTATAAAAGTATTAAAAGAGTACAAAGGAAATTGGTAAATATTCCTTATGATGTTATTATTATACTTTTTTTATAAAAATCAAATGAGAGAAAAAGAAAATAATATTCGAAGTTCGTAGTTATGTAGATATGGTGAGTAACAAACATGTGGAAGTACCTTCTCTCCTTTGCTATGATTTAGAAATACCTTCTCGATTGGTTTATGTGTATCCCTTCTTTGAGTTCCTGTTGATTTGCTTCTGATTTCCCTCTGATTTAGGTGTAATGTATTCAGATATTTTTATGCGTTGAACACTCTCGTTGGGATTGTTTGTGAGAAGGTATATGTTGTAGAGTGAGATTATCTAATAGTTATGTGTGAGCAGATGGATGTAGAGCGCACTGCTAGTTGCCAAAGTCTTTCTATGTTGTATGGGGTATATGTGTGATTTGTAGTAGATGTTCCCTGGGTATGTGATATATGTATATGTGATATCTAGGTATTGTATGTCTGTATACCTATTTTTTATGTTTGTAGTTATTTTCTGTGTCTTCTTCTTGAAACCACTAACCTCCTTTTATAATGGTTGAGGTTCCTGATAATCTCTTGTATTTCTAATCAGTATCCCCTCATTCATTGTCCTTCTCATTATTCCTTTTTTATATTGATAGGTACTTATATCCTTTTTTTATTTGCCAAACATGATTTTAATGTCATTTATTGCCTTAGTTGTCTCTCTGAATCTCTAGTTGCCTTATTAAGACTACTACTTGATGCTATGCTTATAATTGTTGATTAACACTTTAATGGTAGCCATTATTGCTGCCTAATTATGCTTGATTTATCATGATCTTTAATCTGCATATATTTGGTGTCATTATGTTAATTAGTGAGTGATGATTCATTGCATTAAATGTATTTATTTAGTGTTATTTTTTGGAATCCTATTTGATTGTTTTTATTATTTTGTTGCTAATATGATTTCTTTTCCTTTTCAAGGATTGAGTGTGGAGGTGTATAATTTGGAAGGATATTTCCATTAGTTACTTCCCCTTTTCTCTAGGAAATAGGATCTTGGATTATTTGCACTTTGAATGTGATTCCAATTTGATTTCTTGATTATGTGGATTGATTATTCATTAAATGATGCATAATTTTTGTTTCGGTTTTTTTGTGTGGAAAAAGTAAATGGCCGGACAAAATTGGGTGTTCACAAGTACTCAATAGATTTAATGTCTTATCAAGTACCTCTTAACTATCTTAGCTTTGAATGTCTCTCTCACATGTGGAAATTTCTTTTAGGGCAACCGAACATAATATCACAAAATGAGATTGACACTTACACAATGGTTTGTAAATAGTTTTAAATTAAAATATATGCACTTACACACTGATTTGTCCCTTAATGACACTTACATTGTCAATTACACATTGTTTGTTCTTACGAGCATTCATCGACAAAATGTCCAAATCTATCAATGCATTTGAAGACGTCTTATTTAGATCCAACTGCAACATAAAATCATTTAACAATCTACTTGTGAATTCATAATATTGTAAGATAAAATTAATCATACTTACAATTTTCTCCTCAACTTCTTTATACCTTGCTTGTGATGCTTGATATGGATATAATGATTTTGACGGTCATTTGTGGTTTTCTTCACTTATTTTCTACATAAACAAATAATAATTATATCAATGTACATACATTTACCATAAATAAAAAATAAACATAAATTATACCAAAACGATAATAGTTTTACCAAAAAAGACTCATATTCCATGTGTCTAGTCACAAAAGCCCTCCAATCAGGCTCATCAATGATATTAGCATATTTTGTTGGAGGTTTAAGGCTAATGTTTCCCTCAGCATCTCTAACAAACTTTCCAGCATCGGTTCTAAAGTGTTCATGACTCTTGCAGATAGTTTTAAGTATGTAATCCTTGTGATCCTCACCAACATCAAAGGCCAACTGAAAAAGATAAGCAAAAAGTTATATGTTAAAGTTTGCTAATTAGCCAACAAATTGATATATAAATCGCAAACAGTGTCACAAACAATTATAAGAAAATGGGTTATCGTATCCACAAGGACTTGCTAGATAATAGTGTTTCAACTAAAGATTATTTTTGTAACCTATCTTTCAAAAGGGTTTATGATTGATGACACTAAAATAAGCAAACGGGATTGTAATACTTTGATAAAAAAAAAATTGGGATCAAACTTTCTACTTGCTATCAATACACACACAATTCAGTAACACAAATTCACTTAGTAATGATTTTTCCGCACAAGTGACATCAAATATACTAAAAGCTAATGTCTTAGTCAAATTAGTAGCTTATGTAATAAAGCTCTATGTCTAGTAACATTTCACACAAAATGAAGAACTATGACTCACAAAATCATACATTTATGTCTAGTAGTCTATGCAGGTGATATTTAGCAAAATGTAACATCTCAATTGTATTAGTCGTCAATGTCTTGATCTATGCTAATAGCTTATTAAAATAGCTCTACGTCTAGCAACTAAATTAACAAGATGAAGATATATGAACCGTTAATTAAACATATCTCTATTTTTAGTAGTCTATGTTAACAAGTTCGAAATTTGCAAATTTATTGAATAGGCTTTATCTCTAGTAACTAATACAATAACATGCATGAGAAGACATTTTGATA